TCACATCTTTTCACAAAGATTTCTCTTTGATTTCCCGAAAGAATCGGCTAAAAGAAGGGAGCCGACGTTAACGAAGGTAAGTTTGTTTTAAAGGGTATTGGCAACAAAAAAATTTATTGCTTCATCTGAAAGAGCATGAAAAAATAAGCCGATTGGCCGTTTAACGCTCTATTCTATCTGATCTAGTTCCGAAGTTATACACAAAAATGTGCAAAATATAAGTTGCTGATTCAGCACAACGTGTGACGTCATTAGTAGGGTAAGCATGTTTAATGAATAATTTTCTTTTTAGTAACGACCAGAAGGCTTTTTATAACAAATTTAATAAATTGTAACAACGTTTCGGAGTTTACTCCATCATCAGGTTACATTTATACGCAGTGCGTATAAATGTAACCTGATGATGGAGTAAACTCCGAAACGTTGTTACAATTTATTAAATTTGTTATAAAAAGCCTTCTGGTCGTTACTAAAAAGAAAAAAAATTATTACATTTAAATGAGGCTTAGAGAAAGTTCGCTCCTAATCACATTGTTTAATGAATACTAAACTGAAGCATAGCTCAGTTATTATGGGCCCAAATCAAATGAAATTTTGCATACTGATTGTACATGATGAGACGTATTGAAAAACACTTCTAATTTTGTTGCCAAGGTAACAATGTCGTTCCCAGGTCCCTTGCGACAATTTTATAAAACAGCTTTATTCATGGTACTTATAAGAATAAAATAATATCAGAAGTATGTGTACCATACCTATGCATGCCAAAAGTTTACTTGCATGATAATAATTCGAAAATGACATACGCATAGATAAATGCAACTAGTTATTTAAAATCAATGTAAGGGGCCTGGGAACGACTGCGTTGCCTTGACAACAAAATTAGAAGTAGTTTCCCATGCGTCTCATCATGTACTATCTGTATGCAAAATTTCATTCGACTTGAGCCGATAATGACTGAGCTATGCTTCAGTTTACTATTCAATAAACATACTTACCCTACTAATGACGTCGCACATTGTGCTGAATCAGCAATTTACATTTTGCACATTTTTGCGTATAACTTCGGAACCAGATGAGATAGAATAGAGCAGTAAACGGCCAATCGGCTTATTTTTTCATGCTCTTTCAGATAAAGCAATAAATATTGATTTTATAATTCCTTTTATAACATAACATAACATAACATAACATAACATAACATAACATAACATAACATAACATATCATAACATAACGTAACATAACGTAATATAACATAACATAACATAACATAACATAACATAACATAACATAACATTTATTAATTTATATCGCGCAAATTCAACAATGCAGTTTTCAAATGCGCGTTACAACAATGGATAGGACAATTAAAATACGTAGAACTAATATTACAAATTTAATCTAAAAACTGAGCTAATAGAAAGCCTCTTTAAAAAGATATGTCTTAAGATCTTGCTTAAAAATATTAAAATCAGAGATACTCCTAAGATTCAATGGCAATACATTCCATAGTTTTGGTGCAGCAGCACAAAGGCTCTGTCACCAAGAGTAGACAATGTCTTAAAATTTGGCGGACATAAAAGAAGTTTTGTATTTGATCTTAGGCTATAAGAAGAGTTTGTTTTAAAAGTTATAAGTTCAGTTATCTAATTAGGGGCAGTTCCATGAATTGCCTTAAACGTAAGTGTAATTATCTTATATTCAATTCGATATTTGACTGGCAACCAATGTAACTCATACAACAGCGGAGTAATATGGCTAAACCGTGGTGCACGGTAGAGAATCCTTGCGGCAGCATTCTGAACACGCTGTAATTTGGCAATAACATTATTGGGCAGTCCATATAACAGTCCATTACAATAGTCTAGGTGACTGGTAACGAAGGCATGAACAAGTTTCTCTGTCGATTCTCTGCTTAAATACTTGCGAATTCTTCTTATATTATGTAGATGATAAAAAGCACTTCTACAGGTCGTATTGATATGGTGATTCAGGTTGAAGGTACGGTCAAACCAGGCGCCCAAGTTCCTGATAGGTTCTTCAGATGGTGAAATCACAGATTCACCAATAGTTAGAGTGATGTTCTTGACTTTAGCGAGCTGAGCTTTTGTTCCAATTAACATAAATTCCGTTTTTTCATCATTTATCATCAACCTATCACTAATCATCCAATTCCGGATGTCTCGCAGGCAATTCTCCATAGCTAAGATGGCAGCATCCTGAGCATTATCGCTGCTTGGGTTAAATGCGAGATATAGTCTGTGGTTAAAACTTCGACCCTATCGACTTCCACGAGAATATTCCTGCATAGTTGTTGGTCTTGTATACCATCCACCACAAGCCGATAATAACGAACTGTATGACCACCTCATAACCTCGTTGGACAAAATTTTAGCATCTTACCCAACAGCAGGTGTAATTGTTATGGGTGATTTTAACCAGTTCGACTCCAAACGCCTTTGCAGAAACACGTCACTTAAACAAATTGTAAAGAAACCTACCCGTGGGAATGCAACTTTAGATTTAATATTTACTAATATGAAACGTTGTTACAATGGCCCTGAAATACTCCCTGCTATTGGACAATCGGATCACATGTCAGTCCTGTTACACCCCGTTAGTAACGATCACCGCCCTAATACCATTACCAAAGTAAAGCAATCAAATATGCAGGCATTTGGTCGATTTCTTTTGGATCTTAACTGGAATGTACTTTCGCAGCTACCCGATTGTCAAAAAATGTGTGACCTGTTTTATGACATTATTCTCATGGGTTTGGATACAATTTTTCCCCAAAAATCTGTTAAACTTCACTGTAGAGACAAAGCGTGGATTACCCCTGAAATCAAACTCCTCATCTCCCAACGACAAAAGGCCTTTGCCTTGGGAAATACAATTGAATACAACAAATTGCGAAATAAAGTAATTCACGTCGTGAAACAGGCAAAGTCTAAATACTTCGAGTCTCAAGTGAATCATCGAAAAAATTCAAAGCCAAGGAAATTGTGGAGTGCTATTAAAAACCTAGCTGGCTTTTCTTTAAAGCCTGCCTTCCATTCTGCAGAGGTGAATGGAACTATCTTGCAGGGACGAGACTTAGCACTCGCTGTTAATAACGAGTTTTTAGCGCCGCCACTAAATCGTTACCGCCGCTTTCAATTACTGATAAATTATCTGTGGAAGAACCTACCGTTTTGTACCCTATCTCCGTCGTTGATGTCGAATCGCGTTTAAAAGCAGTTAAATCGAATAAAGCTCCTGGTCCAGACTCTCTGCCAAATTGGATTCTCAATAACTTTTCAGTGGAGATTTCAGAACCTGTGACAATGATTTTTAATGCCTCCATTAAACAAGCACAAGTTCCAATGCAGTGGAAAGAAGCAAATGTCGTTCCCGTCCCTAAGACATCCTCGGTCACGGATATATCTTCAGACCTGCGACCTATATCTCTGACCGCCACGCTCTCAAAGGTTCTTGAATCATTTCCATTTCAATGGATTATGGATACCATTAAGTCTCAGTTGGACCCAAAGCAATTCGGATCGTTAAAAGGCTCTTCTACGATAGACGCATTAATTAGCATGTTCCACTGTTGGTATTCTAACACAGACGGCAATGGCGAGACTGTTCGTGTTTTTCTGCTTGACTTTAGTAAAGCATTCGACAGAATCAACCACAAAATCCTGATAAAAAGATGCAATTACTAAATATTGATAAATCCTTAATAAACTGGGTTATTGATTTCCTGATGCAAAGAAGACAGAGGGTGAAATTGGGTTCTTCGTTCTCTGATTGGTCCTTGGTAAATGGAGGCGTCCCGCAAGGTACAATCCTTGGCCCATTACTTTTCCTCATCATGGTCAACGATTTGGCTATTAACCACAAAGATAGATGGAAATATGTTGATGACACTAGTCTCTCCGAAACAATCGGTAAAGGTTGTCAAAGTAACCTGCAATCCGTTATTAATAATATCGATCAATGGTGCACGGAAAATGATATGATGCTTAATCGTTCTAAATGCAAAGAGCTAATTATCTCGTTCGCTAAGGACGTCCCTAATCTTCGACCATTGTTTATTAAAGATCACTGTATGTCCCCAGTTTTATCAGCAAAGGTTCTTGGTCTGTACTTTTCTTCTGATCTTAGTTGGAACTTACATGTTGAACACATAGTATACAAGGCATCAAAGAGACTTTTTTTTCTCCGAGTGCTTAAACGCAGCGGTCTTGGAGGGAGTTCTCTAATTCAAGTCTATACCACATGTATACGACCTGTGCTTGAATATGCATGCCAGGTTTGGAACTTAAACTCCCCTGACTATTTAAAGGAAGAAATCGAAAGAATTCAGAAGCGAGCCCTACGAATAATATGTCCTGACCTGTCATACCGCAAAGCCTTGGAAGTTCATGAATTATCGTTGCTCTCTCAAAGACGAAATAATTTATGTAAATCCTATTTTAAGAAACTTCTCAACCCGGAAAATAAATTGAATGAACTTATCCCTAATAAACGCGAGGACTTACGTACGTACAATCTACGTAACGATCAGCATATTAACTTAATTAATTGTAAGACTACAAGATTTAGTAAAAGTTTTATTCCTTCTAGTATCGTATCATATAATGATTCATTTTAATTGTAATATAAATTTTAGTTTTAATATACCGTATATTACTATATGTATTAGTTTTACCATGTATTTTAAATGTCAATTCAGCTCTTAGCTGCCATTCAGATTTTGTAATAAATTCAATTCAATTCAACTCCGTATCGTCAGCAAAGCAATGCACGGTGGGCAAATGATGGTGGATGACATCGAACAGTTTGCTTGTGTACAGGATAAACAACAATGGACCTAAACAAGACCCTTGAGGCACACCATACTTCATATCAAAACTGTCCGACATTACGTTTTCTATGACTACACGATGGGATCTGTTCACTAAATATGATCGAAACCAAGCAAGCGCATTATTACAAATCCCAAACTTATATTTAAGACACCGCAACAATATGCATGTCATGGTCCACTGTATAAAATGCAGCGCTGAGGTCTAGGAACACCAACAGAGTGACATGTTGTTTATTCATGTTTATGAGAATGTCATTGCGCGTACGCAGCAATGCTGTTTCAGTGCTGTGAAAGTTACGATAAGCTGACTGAAATTCAGGAAACAAATTATTGATGGATAGGTGACCGCACATTTGCTTAGCAGCAATTCTTTCAGTCACCTTAGATAGAAACACAAGGTTGCTCACAGGACGATAGTTCTTTTCTATCAAGTCCATGTTCGATTTTTTAAGCTTAGGTTTCACTAATGCTTCTTTCCAAATGTCGGGGAAATAAACGTCCACAAGGGAAGAGTTTACCATATTAGAGATAGCTGGCAACAAATCATCTATGCAGTCCTTAACCATATCAGTAGGGATGGGATCACTAGCGCAAGACTTATTCGGAAAGCTTAGTACTGTCTCTTTAATTTTCCTCAGATGATAAACGTTGGAATTCAGTAAATAATGACCCAGTATATCCTGGGTTCTCCTCCAGCATTGATGGAGAATCTAACTCAAATTTGTCGAGTTTAGAGCGAATATTGTCAACAATGTCGTGTTGTAACAAGTCACAAGATCTACAATCGATTCAGGAGGGTTTTGACAGAGCCTTGGTGCTCTGAGATCCCTCCTAAATAATTTACGGTCTATATCCTTTATTTTCCGACAACTTACTTTCTTAACAGTCAATGCAGGCTTGTGTAATGATAACTCAGATAGAACAATGATCTGAATAAAAAATATCTGAACTAGGCTCAGAGTGGATCATGCAGTCAAATTCACTTGTGATCATCAATAGCGTGTGACCAGCTCGATGTGTGGGCGTATTTACATGTTGCGTCATACCCATAGACTCCAAAAGATCCAAGAACTTAACAGCGTCGGTGTCATTCGCATCATCAACGTGGATATTCATATCTCCGGTTACCAATAATGGTTCTGGCGACAGTACAATAGACTCTAAGTACTCTGCAAACTCATTTAAAAATGTCGTCACTGTTACTCGGTGCGACATTGAGTATGGCGTTCTATAGACAACTACTACTTTAATAGAATTGTTTTCGTGACTGACCATATATTCCACAAACTCGACGAACTTCTATAAAACCCGACGGCCTTTGCCGCTTTGCGTATATGAAACAACTAAACAAATTAAACAGCGTATAATTTCAGTGTATCTTTAATATTGATTCCCTTTTTTATTATATTGAATTTTTTAAATAAAAAAGAAAGCACTATATTGCATGCGAGAATTTGAAATCATTTTATTGCAAACTCAAAGTTCATCGATAAAGCCATTTAATTTAATAAAGGCAGTTTAGTTTTATAAATGACACTTTAAAACGTTTTGCGAAGCGTTTGTGGTTGAATTTTACCTTAAATTGAAGCTTATATTACGTATAATATCATACCTAACATATATATGTTGGGAAATTGATAATTTTGTAATTAAAAGTGATCTTTTTAGGCGATTTTTTATTTGTTAAAATATTCTTTAAAAATTATCGTGTTACCAAAGATTAGATACTATAAAGATGTGCCACTCTCCGAAAATTATGTCCGAGATTTTTTTATAGCCGCCATTTTGCCAGTAAGTGTCAAATCCAACGCCATCAGTCTCTAAATAGTAAAATCCAACGCCATCAGTCTCGCCGCCATTTTGGCAGTAAGTGAAAATTACGGACACGCAAACAGGGAAATACGTCGAGTGCATGGCACATCTTTATAGTATCTAATCTTTGGTGTTACCATGACAACTACTTTAGATACTTCATGTTCGGAAAATACAATGGTTTTGTCAGCAAGGCGAGGGTTTCTGCATGCATGTATTTTCTAGTAGTTTATTCTAAAACATAACAGTCTATAACCGGCTAAAAGTACACACGAGTGACCACGACTGGCCACGACTAGTACAAGTGATAAAAAAGCTGTTTCGGAACAGATTTTTTATAAAAGGCGAAACTGAAAGCTTTGTTTTCGTGGTTTTCTCTAGCGGGAATAACACTCGGCATAAAATATAAACCCATTCTTATGGAATTACTAACTACGAAAGAATAATATCACAGTAAGTTTGTAAATATTTATATTTTCGCAACTCAACTCTTTAATTCTCTTACATCACAATAACAACTCGTGCCGATCAATCTTGTGTAAAAAGTACACACGAGTGATCAATCTTGTGTAAAAAGTACACACGAGTGACCTCGAATAACCACGAGTGACCACAAATGACCACGAGTGATCACAAATGACCACGAGCGACCACAAATGGCCGCGAGTGATTTCTGTGTTTAAAAATCATAAAATAATAATAAAACTATTTTAAATTAAATAATATTTATTTATAAATTATTACAAATTATTGCCCGGGTATTAGATACGGGTCTCTTTTCCAACCGGATTAGCCTGCGTGTCAGGCTCTATGTCTGAAATAGAGCCTGCTACTGAAGTCAATAAAAAGTGGATTTGTGTGTACGAAAATGTTTCTCTGCGAAATGTTTCTATGTGTTCAACACTTTGACATTTTTTTAAAATTAACTTTGCAATCATATATAAAAAATACACATACATCTATGATTGGACAACAGAACTAGAATCCCATATTAAGTCCATCCATCTAACACTAAAACACGACATATTACAGACTATACAAACTGGACAACGTAATACTGATTTTACAAGCCTTTAGTGTAAACACTATACAAAACATGCAAGAATAAATACTACACTACTGTGAAATTATTTGTGAGGTTCAGATTTGTCCCCCACCACCACCACTAGTTGGAAACCACTCGCATGAGTGATATAGAGGTAATGGAAGTCAAAAGTGACTCCACCCATGTTAAACACTAACCACTTACATGCAAACCAGGTCAGCTCGAGGTAGCGATGATGGCAGTGGAAGTCAAACCCGACATAAACCTTGCTATTTAACACCAGACCAGCTACGAGTAGCAGGTGATATTGCTCGAGCGACATTTCACGCAAATAGTTTTCCATGTCCTTGGACGCTCAACATCAAAGTCTGAGTTTAGTTTATTAAGATAATAAGTATAAAGTTTGGATTTGAATATAGCGCAAGAGTTCGATTACTTGATATGACTAGGATACCTTGATATGACTAGGATGACCACATGTTCAACGTACCCATTTTTAGGATTTATTCAGATGACATTGGGGATTTTATATATTTTGATATCTCAACTTTCAAATTATATCAGTTTTAGTAACAGATAGTTCGTTGCTATGGCGACATACGTGTACGAAATTCACTCCAAAACGGGCCTATCGCCTCGTACGTATAGTTGGAAAAGAAGAATGGTGACCCCCAATTTTTTTCGTGCATTATTTTAATTGGAAGAAAAACTAACAATTAACAAAATATGTTTGGAAAATGCGAAAATGTCGTACTCTTCAGTAAAATGTTTTTGGCATTACAGAATTTTTTATTTTTTGCATAATGAAAGATTTTAGCGGTGCAATATAGCATGCAAAATTTGAACATAGGTCACCAGACAAAATAGAGAGATATAGTGCATTGTTTTTCTAAAATGGGAAATTCTAATGACGTCAGCAATTGACATAAAACACTATAGAACACGCGCAATGACGTGTGATGGCGCAAGCAACTGCTCATGTCAGGTCATTTTGCTTTCAAAATGACCCAAAATATTAATGTTTTTCTTGTTCGCATTTACTCGACTTCGCATTTACTCGACTATATTCAACATCAACAAATTTTTGCAAATATTTTCATAAAATGCTCGTCAATTTTCATAAAATGCTTGTCAATTTTCATAAAATGCTTGTCGATTTTCATAAAATGCTTGTCAATTTTTATTAAATGCTTGTCAATTTTCATAAAATGCTTGTTTTTTATAAAATGCTGGTCAATTTTCATAAAATGCTTGTCAATTTTCCTAGACAACAATTTTCGTCAAATCACAATTTATTTTGGTTTTTCCGACGGTCTTTTGGGCACGTTTGCCGATGTTTTTTGCACAATTTGCACACGAAGTTAATACACAACTAATCGAACTGCTATACAAGTTTTCAAAACTACACTAGCTAGATAACAGTATGCAAAAAGTTTAGTGCATCGACAAATCAGTTACCTGAAAGTTTAAAAACCGGCTTTCCCCCTTTAATACTCACCAAACTGATCAAATAATGCAAAGAATACATGCACAAAACAGCAAGATCAGCACTGGCCATATATGGTCACGAGTTCCATATAAGGATAAAATGAGCCCGCAAAGGGTGTTGAAAACACATTCCAGCGGAAAAAGGTACTGAATTGCGCTGAACACAATTTTTTGCTGAATTTTAACAATCCAGCTAAAATCTCCCATATCTGAGATTAGGATGCTCCCAGCTCGCTCGCTGGTCGCAACAAAATAGCCTGTGTACAGCCGTTACTCTCGACGAAGCGCGCGAGGTCTGTGAGTTGGATGCATAATCCTTGTTCAGGTCACGTGGATAGTTCCCAGATTTGGGGACCGCCTCTGATTGGACAGTGCTTTATTTGAATAAGTTATGACAAATGAAGCTATTTCATTCGTTAATTGATAATTAGCATGCGTTTAAAATAACAACACAAAAACTTTAAAATTACAGATCAAGAATCAAGATTTCCTTCGGGGCATACAACAATCTCGTACCCAGAGCAATGCCTGTGCGCGGGCTAGGATGGCATTGGCTCTGGGGAAATTGACAACCGGAACCCCTAAATTTAGGGGTTCCGGTTCTTTGTCGGCATGCACGATTGATAAACGTTAAACCAATCACAGCACAGGAAAAATTCAATTTCCCCAGAGCCAATGCCATCATAGCCCGCGCACAGGCATTGCTCTGGGTACGAGATTGGGCATACAAAGGTTTGAAAGACTAGAAATATAATCTGTTGAGTTTAATTTTGTGCTGTATCGAAGTTTAAGAAAATCAAGATAAAATTAATTCTAGTGTTTGGACACTCAGCGAACAATGCTGACAAATATATAAAATACAACAAACTATCGGACGGAAATTGACAATTTATAATTGACAATTTAATAAATTGACAATCTGTTTATATGTCCCGACTCCTCGCGATAAAGCATTTTCTTTACATGTAATCTGTTTAACTTCGTCTTACTTGGCCAGTTAACTTTTAATTACTTTAAAATGCACCTTTGAATAACCGGTTGTGTTTATATTTAATACTTTGTCTTTGTAAACAAATATACGCCATATATATGTACGCCAAGAACTGAGCTTGTACACCAGACTTGCCGGCGATGATCATCGTTCAGGGACTGGTCATAAAGTAAAAGGGGATGGGTTGGGAAAAATAGGGGGTGGGTCACTATTTTTGAGCACGGTTGAAGGGGTGGGTCATCGAAAGTTAAGTGCAATCATAAGGGTGAGCCATGTAAGAATATGCAGAAATTTTTTTAAGGGCATGTGTATTAAAATTCATATTATAAAAATAGAAATAAAACGTATCTGGATCCATGTGTAAATTTATACCGCAAACGTTAACCTCAAACTTAAAAGCTGAATTTACTATCTTGGCTAATACGTTAGTTGTGCTAACTAATTTTCTGATAATCATCATTGCTAAATGTCACGAGCTTGGTGTAGGATCATGTTTATTATGTAACAAAATTAGTGTAATTTCTACGAGAGCATAGTTCAATCACAATCATCGTTAGCGGTGTGGCATTAGCTGTAAATGTCAAACTAAAGGTCTCTAATTATGAGAAAGATGCTGCATAATGCAGTATGCATGGGAAGTTCCATGCAAAGAAAATCCTTTCTGTATTTAATTCAAGGCCTCTTTTAACATATAGACTGGGGAGGACATGTCCCCCCCCCCCTCTTACTGGCCCCTCCAGTCGGCAATTTTGTCCCCTCCCCCCCAGTGAGAACTACCTGCAGTAGGTTGTCAACCATGCAGCAATTATGTATCAAAGTGAGAAAACGATGTTAAGTTGTTAACATTTCTGCATTTGACCATCATCTAGCTATGAGTCAACTGAGTCAATCGACTCGGTAGGCCAGAATTTGGGGACTGAAATTTAATTAAACATATCGCCAGAAACCTAAACCATGACTGAAATAATTTTAGGACGAAATTCTAGTTTAGTTTTTCCAAGCAAAGATATTCCAAACAGACCACCCTATCTTGCTCTTCAGTGACACTGAGAAGACGAATGCGTCGATTTCAAGTACCCCAATACATGTACTGTAGAATTTGAAGTGTGGTGAATGATAATAGGACTTCAATATAAGATTAGGATTCTTGCACTTCACTTGGTGGAATTAATATTAGAATGTTAGGGTTTGTAATCCAAGTGAGTATATATACATATTAAGACCTAACCAGGAACGACTGCGAAAAATGCAGCACAAGGTCCTCTGGTAGGAATTGAACCTACGGCCCTGCGATTCCGGTGCAGCGCTCTAAATTTGACCATCAGCGTTCTGGTTAGAGCACTGCACCGGAATCGCAGGGCCGTAGGTTCAATTCCTACTGAATGATAATACTATACCACACACACATTTTAATTACCGCATCATCACACCATGTTGCCTTATTTGGACTGGATTACATTTGGGAAACTGTGAAATTGTAGTAATTGTGTCACTGTTTATAAGGTTAATTTCTTGTTAAAAAAAACTCCTCAAAATGCAGGAAATAGCTTATCTGAGCTTCAAGAAAATCCAAAATTTTCTGGGGGGCATGCTCCCAGACCCTCTAGAAGCTCGCACCTTCGGTGGTCAACTCGGTTGTCTCAGAATCCTAGTTACAGCCTGATCTGCTGCCCTATGACGTATACTTATCAGTTAAACCATGCATATATATGCTGGTAGCTGCAGTTATACAGACTTGCCGACTGGAACTTCTCCATGCAGGTCCCCCGCTGAAATGTCCCCTCCAGTTACACATCCTTAAAAGAGGCCCTGAATTTTAATTGCACCATTTGAATGGCTATTGAGTATTGTAACAGAGTTATTTGGCAACAGAAAAATAGAACACTGGTATATTTTGCCTTTCTGAAAGGATGGGTCATAATTTTTTAGCACCAATATAAGGGTGGGCCACATATTTTCGTGCAGCTATTAAGAGGTGGGCTACCAAAAGTGCAGACACCAAATATATGATTTTCCCAGCCCCCCGCGCCCCCTTTTTACTTTATGATCGGTCCCTCAGCATTGTTCGCACTCAAAACAAATCTCTTCGTTTTTCGTTTTTCAGATTGTATTTCTAGTCTTTCAAACCTTTGTATATATGCCCCGAAGGAAATCTTGATTCTTGATCTGGAATTTTAAAATTTTTGTGTTGTTATTTAAACGCATGCTAATTATCAATTAATTAACCAATGAAATAGCTTCATTTGTCATAAATTATTCAAATAAAGCACTGTCCAAACAGAGGCGGTCCCCAAATCTGGGAACTATCCGCGTGACCTGAACAAGGATTATGCATCCAACTCACAGACGTTCTCTCGCGCGCCTTGTCGAGAGTAACGGCTGTGCACAGGCTACAACAAAACTGATGTGGAAAAATATTAATCATTTGATTAATAAAAAATCTAAATCTTCAAATATTTCATAAAGCAGTCGTTGAAAATCCGAGCATAGCAAATCTATTTAATGAATATTATACTGACATTGGACCTACCTTGTCGAGACAAATCTCGGAAACAAATGTCAATTTATAGTCGAATTTATAAATGTGGTGAAAGAAAGGAGCGAGGTAATTATCGACCTATTTCTATACTCTCGATAATTGCGAAACGTTTTGAGAAACTTGTTTATTCACAACTCAATTTTTTATTTATGTTAATGATCTCCCTAACTGTTTGGAGAACTCACATGCTGCAATGTATGCTGACGACACAAATGTTACAGCGCGTTCATCCAGTCTATGAATGTGGAAGACTACTTAAATAATGAATTAGAAAATATTCATCAATGGCTTCTTTCAAACAAATTAACACTTAAAACAAAATTATTTGAAAACGTTATAGCTGAAAACGCTCGAAAACATTACCGTGCATGCGCACATAATCATAGTTTAATACGCACGGATCATGGAAGTGGGGGTACATGCATGCGCAGAAAAACGAATTACAAAATTTATCCATTTTCTGTTTCTAAGTATATTGCTATTGGTTTTTAATATCCAGATGACAATACATAGTTCTACATATTATTCATAATCTCATCAGATATAAATAAATAAACGACAGTGTATAATTTACATTATAGCATGCATGTTCAATAATATATCTCATATTCAAGGACTTTGTCTTTATTTTTCTTGCATACGTTGTACTTCTGATGAAATTTTGACCAGTTAGGATGACACATTAATCTCTAAATAGAAACCTGGACCAAGCATATATTAACTATAATTAGGCCAAAACACTGATATAAAAATTACAATTGCATGCTGTTTGTATAACATCACAAATAAGCCGATGCACGTCAAGTCATGGTGGCTATGTTGGTGGTATTTCAACAAAATTTGGGAGTTTACGCATGTAAGACGGCAACGTCAGGACGACGGCTATCAATACAATGTCACTAATCCTGTGGCGTAAAATAAATGAATAATTAAAAGTATAGCAGGAGTTTTAGACGGCAAAATGCATGTTTTCACATCTCTAGAGTACGCTAGCATTTCAAGCCGTGACAGGCAATTTTTTAGCAGAGTTGATCAAAATTGCTCTAAAGGTTAAAGCTCTGTTTTACTCGTTCGAAACTGTATTAAATTCATACGAAAGTAAATGCAAGACAATATTTCCATAAAATCATTCATTTCAAACAGTTTGTTTAGTCGTTGTCCTGACGCCGCCGTCTTAAGCCTGCCGCACACGAGAGCAACTTGCTGAGCTAACCGCCTCGGGTGGCAGCTAGCCCAGCTATGCATTTTCGCCGCACACGTTGGGAAAACTACTCAACAACAACATAATTGACAAAATCGTTTGCATTTTCCTCCGTTTTGTTTAAAGTCACATGAAGAAACTATGGTTTCTCATTGGCTAATTGATGCAAGCAGCTCAGCACATAGCTCACAATATCCGCAGACGTTGAGATTTTTTCCTCGCGAGGTGAAAAATATCAAACAGGATAAATATTAATTTTTCCTCAAGGCCTCGAGAGGTCAAATCCTCACGAAAACTATCTGCGCACGAGAGAAACTTGCTGAGCTAGCTGCCACGCGAGGCGGTTAGCTCAGCAAGTTGCTCTCGTGTGCGGCAGGCTTTGCATGCGTAAACTCCCTAATATTACCAACAAGGCCGCCGTTTCATTGTCTTTTAATTACTGACAGATTGAATGCAATACATCCACGTGTATGTCAAAACAACGAGTGACTGCACAAAATGGAGATAATACATTCCGATAATTGAATCCGATTGGGTGGCACTATTGCTATGCCAAGTATTATTCAAAATGATTCACGGTAGCCAAATATAATGCAAGCATTAGACAAACTAGGCGGTTTAACAAGTGTTTCCTAACTAGCCAATTTATTTCGACGCGAATTCAATTCAGGCCTCTTATAGCCGTCGTATTAAATTTCGTACTGTCACAACGGAACCTCCATCTTTGAGGGGCAAAGAGCCTCGTGTTGTTGAGCTAAGCTAGCGACCGTCTAGCTGATATACGACTTCTGTCAGAGATAACTGTATTGCTAGATAAGTGAGAAACAATATAAATGAATAGACTATAAATTATCGAGAATATATATCTATATATATATCTATATATATATATATATATATATATATATATATATATATATATATATATATATATATATATATATATATATATATATATATATGTATATATATAAATAAATCACAAACTAAACTTTTTTATTACAACATTTATTCTAAACCAACGTTTCGGGGCATGCCCCTTCATCAAGGATGAATAACGAAGTCAATGGCCTAATGTCCTTTATATAACCCTATTAATTATATACAACAATTAATCAAAATCTCTCATATTTAATCCCGTAGGTACAAAACTGTCCAATTTGTATACCCAAAATGCTTCCCTTTGTGTAGGCTTACAAATATTGGTTTTATCAATAATTATAACCCTAATATATATATATATATATATATATATATATATATATATATATATATATATATATATATAAACAGTTTTGTTTTTCGTTATAGATAAAAGAGTTATATATAAACAGTTTTGTTTTTCGTTATAGATAAAAGAGTGCTCAATACTACAAATTATTTAGCAGAGCGAATTAATTTGTTATCTT